AAAATCTAAAAAACTATAATCTATCGCTGGTGTTTCACGAAAGTAAGAATTTGTTTTGAACTCTCTGTTTCCGACACGATTATGATAAGTATATTACGAGGTGCAGCTGGTTATTAATATATTCTAAGACATTTGATCTTGATCATATTCATATTTCCATGTTATTGTACAATTTTTTTACGTCGCTATATATACGTATGTAAACTTGATCAGTTTTGGACTGACTTGGCCAAATTTTTTCGCCCTTTTTTTTTACTATTTAAAAAATTTTGATAAGTCGGTCAATCTATATAAAGTCGCGATAATTGCATCGGCCAATCACAGCCCAAGTATGATTAAGTGAATCACGATAAATTGGTCTCAGGTGATATTTCATTAATTAGCTTGTAATAAAATATCTGATATAAAAAAAACAATCTTTATTATTCATGTTTATGTCATCAATTGTATCGTTTATTATTTCATTTGATAATTTAAAAGAAAAGAGCATTCTCGCTTGTAAACTACATTTATATTTTATTATCTCCATCAATTATAATCATTTGATAATTTATCACGAATAATGCATTAATATTTTAATCTCAGCAGTTGAATCATCGATTGTATCATTTATATTCAGAATAAACTAACAATAATTATAATAATAATAAATAGAGGGAAATTTATTTATAAATACTTAATGACAAAGTAGTTAAAATACATAGTATTGGAAGCTGTATAACCCATTAATAAAACATTTTTCAATGAAAGATATGCATGGTTTTAGCCAATAATATTTTGATTTTATTTTTAAATTAAAAAAGTCAGAAACTCGGGGTTTTATTTAGTAAATTTTAAAGTACCGAATTAATTAATCAAATAAAAAAAATCTGATAAAAAAAAATCTGATAAAAAAAATTGATAAATTAAATCTGATAAATTAAATCTGATAAGATCAAGGGCAAGTGATCAGCAAAATTTGGGTTATCAAACATTGAAATTTAATGCAAATTTCAAAAAGAATGTTGTGTAGCCAAACATAAATATATATATAGTTTATCTATGAATTTTTTTATTTAAAATATTTAAAATATTTATTTTTTTTTTAATAATAAATCAAATTGTGGCGAGTTCGGCAATTTCCTTTTATATTTGATTTGTTGAGGTGGCGTAAAAGAATCAGGACAGCGCTCATAATTGTTTGTCAATCTCCTGAGATTTTGCTGCAAACACACATTGATGGAATCACAAGCAAAATTTTATCATAACTTAAAAGCAAAGATGATAATCAAATTACCTCTATTATCACAAAATGAGAGAAAATGGATACGAGTAATGGAAAAGTTTCTTTATCTATTACTAATTTTGTTTTAAGGAAAGGCCATGTTCTATACAATCCATTGTATTCCAAATCCATGAAAAAAGACTCTACAGTTTCACTTAGATTTTTAAATGAGCAACTTAGTAATAAAAATAACTTTGATAGAACCCATATCCATATTCACGAAAAAATTGTTTCGTTGGGTCCTCCTTTCTTATCAATCAATTGTTTTTCGTCCTTAAATTGATTTTGACAAAACCTTTTTTCCTTTGTAAAATAGTGCAACTTATTGGCTTTACTTCAGAGTTAAGAATGGTATGCCATCAATAATTCATGAAAAATCTGGCCTTTTAATTGTACCATTAACTCTTCGATTCAATCCCAACTCGTAATTCTTGTATGGATTGCTAAATAATGGTTTGGTAACAGGATCCAGATAATAATAACGACGCTCATCTTCTGAAATTTTGTTTTTTGTGACAAGGGCTCAGTTCATTCTTGCTAGAACATATTAAAAAAAAAAAAGATTTAATTTTCCCAATAAACTTTGTCTATTTTTGATCATCAACTTTACATATTATTAAAAACGCGAGTAGCAAACTTTGCTAAGCTCAATATCATTTTTTCTGAAAATTACATTCAAACCCTAACGCATGAAGCTTTGTTACATCAAG